TCTGTAATTTGCACTATTCTAACGTGCGAGGAGACGAAAATCCTAGCAAAGAAAACAAAATGGACAATCCGAGTTTTGAAGGTTTTCACGTTCATTTAGATTATAAACTTACGTAAAGCAATAAAAATCAAACACAGCTGACACTCGTATAGTATATAAAGTTTAAATTCATGCAAATCATGAGCATGTCAGAGCAACAGCGATCATGCTGAGGTCCATCGCGACTAGCTTATCATAGCGATCACCGGTCATTACAGTGCAGCAAACTTCAGAAATAACATGGGTCGCCCTTCGAGTGAACTGAACTAAGAACTTGCTCTGATATCCTTCCCGATGCGTTGAGTGGGCCACATCACTCACAGCAGCCGAGTTTTTCGGCGCTGTCATCCCGAGCAATCTTTTTCCTGTGAATTCGGCTATCGTTCATTCAAAAAACACACGCCTTGCGCCGTTTGTTTTCTAATTGTCACGAGAAAAAACTGTTTTTATGAGCCACAATTTGGCCGGATTTCATTAAACTTTTCACGTTCAGATTCCGTATTAAGACTAAGACACTTAAGGCAAAAGTGTTGTATTCGTCCCACCGAACTATTTCAGTTTGTGAACTATTGCAGATTGTAGGCGTTGATAGTTTGTGAGCTTAGATGGTTTAACATTTTTGACAGCTTCAGACGTGCTCAACCAATTAGTTCATTTGAATCACTCTAATGAGTATCCTAATTGCTTTATTGTAGCCTGCTTTAGGAGAGTATAGAGCATGCTGACAACACTGTTGTTCGCTCAGGAAGTACGGTTTGTTTTGAAAATTGAAATTACTGCGTAGGGAATATAACGGATTTTTTCCTTTAAAACAAATAAAGAAGCCTTGACTGTGCCCTGTTCTGTTATGAAGCACTTTGGAAGTGGCTTGAGCACTCAAGAATTGGAGAGAAACACTCGGCGACTACATCTCGTGTTTCACTACACTTCCTTCGTACTCTACCGCCTCCTGCGTGCTTTACAAGAGAACAGAGCACAATAAAGGCTTCTCTATTTGTTTAATAATGGTCGGAAGTTTAAAGAACGAACCATGCTGAGACGAAACGTCTGAGCATATTTAGTTTCTTTACAAAGTTTATTGTCGCGGAGATTTTTAACCTGGTCAATTCATGCAAAGCGTGTGTGGTTATGTCGTAAGTTCAGCCTTCGAGCATACTGCATACTGCGAAAATTATGAAAAACAAACCTAGAGAAAAACAAACTCGCTCACATATAACTCTCGAGGTTATAAATTTTATGAACTCCTCGGTATGAAAAGCGATTCAGCTCTACTCAGGTCCTAGCTTTTAACTCTAAAAATGTAACAAAGGAAGCGCGCATTAACAGTCACTAGAAGGTGAAACGCTGAACTTTACCCTCCAGCATGTACATTTCAAGATTATAAATGAGTATAACAGGAACAATAAATCCTAAAACGTCAACTGTCGTCTTTGTTAAGAAAATCTTTTTGTCGAAATCACCTGTTTTTTATTTCCCACAAACTTAGTTAGAACTTTCTTTCTAAGTTGGATCAGCCAGGTTTTACCATAGATGACATGTTTAGGCCAAGTTTGATGCAATACTGTTTCCTTTTTTTTTAATTTTTAAGTAGGTTTTGCGGGAGCAACATATTTCCACGAAACGTTATTTTTCCCGTTGTGACGAATTAGAAAGTTTCATTACAAGACTTGAAAAGTTTTACTGCTTTGTAAAGTTTTCATTCGAGCAAGCCAAGCCATTTCAGTTGAGTTCGACGGAGCTCCT